GACGTCGTACGTAGGGGGTTCCACCGGGGGGAGCGGGAGGGGTCGCATCTGGTCGCTGGAGGGAAGACGGTCGGTGTTCACCTCCAATAAAAATGCTTTCAGTAACTGGTTTTTCAAGGTTTTCCCTGATTTAAAGGCGCTTTAGATCCGCTTCCTCCCTCTATTTCTCTGGGGAAGAAGTAAAGGAACTTTTGAGAAAAGTGGAAAATTGGTAGGAGTGATAGAAATCGGGGACGTTAGGAGGATGGGTAGGTAGAATGGCAAAAGGGGAGGGGTTGCATTCCGCATAAATTCCTCATAGCGGCAGGACGTGTCCTATCTGAGACAAATTTAGCGTGCGTTAACTCACTACAGATAGATCTCGAGGCTGAACTTGATTCATAGCGTTACCCACAGTTGGTCCTGAGCATGTAGACAGACTTGGACAGTCTGGGTAAAAGTCACTACGTTACCTATACCCAGATCTACAGATAAGCTTACTGCGTTTCCCTTTGCTGACCCTTATGGGCCATGGGAACTCATGGGAGGTCAAGAGAAGTTCACAAAGAAGCAGGAAATGTCGGCGCTGTTTGTCGACGGGGGGGCATTTTGTATTATCATTGCTTCCCTAGTTCCGGTTTACAAATCTCACTCTGGTAAAACTTGTGAACTCTTGTGAAGCTGAACTAAGATCGTCTAGCCACTATCCTAAAACGTGTCAACTCGAGAAACGGCTGCCTAGATGGGTCGACACATCTATGGAAAGCAAAATGCCCCCCCGTCGACAAACTGCGCCGGAAATTCCGCGGCGAAATATTCTCATTGAGTAACCTGAATGAAATATACTTTAGCGCCTCACTTCTGTGCGCATCCAGGTTCGCCTCTTTGAGTGTCTCGCACCTTTAAAATTTGTTTGGGTGCAGGTGGAGGTAATGAAATTTGCTCAATGTATACTACTTCCTTAACACCGTTTCCGTGACCAAGCCAGACAGCTCAACTACTCAGCTGCGTGACGGCCATATCTTGGTAGATCTAAAATTACAGAGTAAACAAGCCAATCCCTTCCGAAAATCCATTTAAAGAGGTTTTTGGCTGGCTCGTAAACTTTACCGTTGTCATACCGATAATGGATTATCTGTAAAGCTTGTTACGTCACGATATAAAGACGATCTGTCGGATACGTAAGAGATCTTAGCAATAATGCCCACATATATCCTGAATAATCCCTTCATGCCGATTTCCTGGTCGCCTATGGTTCTCTGAGTTATGCAAGTAAATATTTTATATATTTTTTCGGAGGTTCTATAATAAATGCTCTTTTACAGGTACTGTAATGAACGCCGTAACCGTCGTCGTACTGACACGGCCGTCCATGCTTTCACCTATCAACGCCATACTTTGCGCGCGGTGGCCATCTGTGATATACTTGTGATGACGTCCGTTTTGGTATTCGTCTGTCACTTTCTCATATCAGCCAATCTTAGGTGAGCACAATTCAACAGTTCATGTTCTTTCGCCATGGGCGGGAAAGCTGCGGAAAGGATCGGTGAAGGGAAAGTCTGGGAGGCCAAGCACGACTCAAATGCCCCTACAATGCTTAATAATGCATTTCCCCCTACAGATTGAGTAATAGAGGACAAGGAGTTTGGGTAATTTTTGGGTACAGCAGCTCCAGAAAGATCCCAGCCCTTTAGCCCTTTGGCAGCGCTCAGATGGCAGGCCTTTAGACGTCTACCAATCTGAAAGACGCCATTATACCTGGGTCGCATAGGCATACAATAACTACAATGTAACTACAAATGTATTGACCTATGAAGCCTTGACTTGATCAAAAAAGCGAAATTTGGAAAAAATATCTCCTCCCTTTGAAAAATCGCTCGTAGCCAATAATGAAGGCAAAGGTGGCCACAAGGGGCTTTTCATCGCTGAAGGGTTTTCAAGAGTGTTTGCTAACATTCCAATAACATACGGAAGCGGCATGACTTCCATCCCGCAATACATTTATAGTCTAAACCTCTTGATCCTGCCACGAAATGTTGGTGTAGGCCCGATAGCCAAGTGGCTACGATGTAGGAACATGTTTGTATTCTGAGCACTAAACTCCAAGTTCGATCCCAGGCGAGGCAAAAATCATACTTTGGAAAGGCTGCAAAAATGGTTTTCATACCAGCGTCATACCCAAGCCGATGGAGAGCTTTGTTACAAAAATTAGGCTAAATAACCTCAGGGGGAAGGAGACAAGGACTTCTGGTGCGAAACTGCTGGTGTTGTCAGTCGAATAGGATTGCCGTGCTTCACTCCACCCGACTCTGAAGTTCTTCCCCTTCAGGCTTTGGGAGGCAATTCTAGTTTTCCATTCTAGCACAAGGAGACCTTTCAAGCTGCCCCCCCCTCCCTATTAATAATAGTAAGATTACAAGCGCCGGAAATGTTTAGAGCTGGCGAAAGTTTCATGATGGCGCCTCTCAGTAGATTGAAATTTGGTTGAAAATTTCATTTTCAGGTGTGATCCAGAGGACTATGATCGGAAGTGGGCTTATTTTTTGTTCGCCCATTCACAAAGTACCGTAATTCTGCATGCCACCAGCATTTGGCTTACGGTAAGTTTTTTTACATTAAATCTGATGGTCACTAAAGATTTCACCCAATGTTGATCCTTAATCAGAAGACTTACGTTTTTCACCCGAGGCTAAAGTTCACAGCACTAGGGCCATCTTGCTTATAGCTGAGCTTTCTTTAAATAGTCTGCCGATAATAAATCGTAAATCGTAAATCGTAAATTTTTACAGTATCTTAATGATGTCCCTGTCAAATGTCTCGAATGAAACCCTCAATTATCCTCCGAAATTTAGGTACTCTTGGCACAGATTCGTGTCTACACTATCAAACGTGCTACAGCGGGTCCATCAGAAGCAATTACAGCACGGGCCACCGGTGGCATAGCCCTCGTCACTCTCTGTGTGGTCGCCTTAGTGAATATACCAAATTTCATGACTTTCGAGGTAGGTTTTGTCAAAGTTCTCATGAAAACATGGACAATTGCACTAGGGTCAAGATATATCCCACGAAGGCTGTACGGCTTGCAGGGTGTGGTGTAATCGTTGGCATTATCGCATGTTCTGCTGCCCTATCAGCCCCCGCGAGTATACGCTGCAGCGGTGATGGGGCACCTGTGACGGCCCCTCTGGTTGCGTGCAATTACAGCCAATGAAGAGATCATGAATTCCTCGTTTGCTATGCTCCCTGAGCGCAACCTATCCCGTCTGAGGCTGTCAATTTGGGCAAGACTTTCCAGTCCAATGAAAAGCAGTGGGTGGAGCTGCTCGGCCGTCTGATATGAGTGAATGGATGCCTTCTGGAACTCCCTCACGAACAATTCAGAGTTCCCTTGGAAATAGTTAATATTGAAGCAGATCGTCGTGGAAATCACAGCCTAAACTTTTGTTCATAACAATCTTTTTCTCCCAGTTACTGCCTAGTAGGGAGTAAGGGAAGTTTATGCCACTGGCCTCCGCTCTTGGAATATACCACCCGGATTAAGGTGTCTTCTCGTCTCTGCATGCAGGGCTATAAGATTGATGCTTATGCTGCACTGCGGAGCCGACCAGCAGACCAATTTCTTCCAATGGCGGATTTTTCTGTAGGCTAATGAATCATTTCGGTCAAATCTGGTATTCCATCTTTCCTTACAATATATTTCCTAGGCCCAGCTAAATAATGGACAGGATTTCAATCCCACTTGGTCATTGACAATCATTTTCTCATTCTTATTGCAGTTATTTTTGCCCAGAGCAATGGATTTCAAAGCCGAAAACGTCTCCATTAAATGACGTCACTCTCAGGCTAAAATTCATATTAAAATCATGGCATCTTGGA